GTGGGGTTGAAGGTGGTGTGAAGGCCTGGATCCAGGACACTATCAACATCTCTCTGGTGTTGTACTGCTCCCTTGAAAGAGAAAGTTGTGCTTCCCATTCTGTAAACAGTTTCCTAAATCTAGCCAATTTAGCAGCCTAATCTCTTACCTTTCCTTTTTAAGGAAGATTGTTGGGAAGGTCTTTAGTTACAGAGTAGCTGAGTGGATTCTCTGACATCATTCTTTGATTATTTCCTTTAATACTACTCCCTGCTGTATTATTTTCACTGTAACTGACAATTTTGCTTTAATCATGACAATCAGAATAAAAAATGGTGTAACTTCAGCTTCAACTTTAGCTGTGTCACTCCCAAAAGTGGTACCAAAAGCAGCAGAGGCAGAAACAATGGCTAATTGCTTAAATGGCATTGTCTATATATGAAAGACTTTGAAGTCAATCCAAAAATCTATTTCTTCCCTTCAAGCATGAACGATAGATGCAAGTAAAGATTTCTAGGCTGGACAAGATAGGAAATGACAATGCTCATAATGTCTTTAATAATTGTAATACCTTTCTAAAATCCCAGTTATATAGGAAAATCTCTTGAGTGAGTGATATTGAAGATATTATTCAGATTTGTTTGGCAGAGTTTATGGAAATCTATTTATACTTCCTATTGACTTTTAAATTGATGCTGGGACCAACTAAACTAAGCTGGGACTAATTTAATTATTGTTCAGTTTCTGGGTGCTCCTAGAAAAGATGTGATTCTGCATAGATATATACAAGAAATAGTGAAATATTAATTAAAATGGGGTCCTTAGAAGAAGGAATTCACATCCCTGATTTTACAAAATAAATGGTAGAGAAATGGAAATGTTTAAATAAAGTATGCACTTTAGTTAAATCTTTGCTGCTGCAATATTCATGTACTTTCTAAGCTATGTCAATTTTCTCAGGAATTCTAGAAGTTTTTGATCCTATCCTCTGCTGAACCTTTTCCAAAGAGACTTAAACCAATATTTCAATTTTTATAAATGTTTAATTTTACAAGCAATCAAATATCATAATCACCATCACATTAGAAAATTTAAAATTCTTTTTCTTCTGTTAGACATTTCCCCCTTTTCACTTAACTTATATTTAGCAATCCTTGATTCACTACTGTATTATTGGGCTTACAAGACCTTTTTTTTTTTGGTCAGGAAGTGTTACCAAACATGGTTTTGTCTTAAGTATTTTTTCCTCTTCCTCATTTTCTTCCTCTACTTCTTCTCTTATGATGGTTGTTTCTTTTCTTTTGTTTATGGTAGATATGAATCTTTTTTTAGCAGACAAAAGAAAGGATGGGAGTCAGAAACTCATGTCAACCAGGAAGAAAGGCCATCTTGATTCATAAGCCATGTTTCTTTCCAGTCCAGCAGAACTTTGGTTGTTTAGTCTCTAATATAAACATTGTTGTCACTAAGGGATCTAATATAGGGATCTAATATAGACTTCCAATACTATGTTTCATGAGTGTTCTCATTATGGGGTAGAGTAGACAGATGACATTAGATTGGTAGAAATATAGATAGACAGAGTTAGATATGGAGGAAATTCGGAATCCTGAATTCTTTAGGAATATTCCCAGAGATGGCATATGTCAGGCAATGTTTGCTGGCCTGGCCCAAGAAACATGCTTCTTTTGTTGTTCTCATGCCCTTTGAAAAACATTTCCTTTGAGATTCAATTCTACCTTCTTCATAAGTATTAAAAATCTGGATTTTTATATACATACATGTATGAGAAATCCTTATGTTAAGTAATTGTTCTATTTTTGTAACTTTAATTTTTTTCTTTTCTTTTTCTGTTCTGTTTGATTAGATTTTTTTTAAATAAACAATTCTGCATGATATTGTTGAATTAAGTCATTGGCCAATCATAAGCAGTAGACTTTTTGTTTTAGGCCAAGCAACGGATGCTGGAGAAAAGATCTTCACACAGTGCTTGACCAACCATAAAACCTCAAAGAAAGAAATCTGAAGCACTAATTTCTGAAACTGCTTTTATAACTCCAAGAAGCAAGATAGCAAAAGAATTGATGGTTTTGAACTTTAGTGATAGAAAAGACTTTTGAAAATACTGTGGATTGTCAAGAAAAAAACCCAAATGAATCATCAAAACATCAAACCAGATTTTTCACTTGAGGCGCAAATGACTAGTTATCTTTCTTTGGACACATTATATGAAAACTTAGCTTACAGGTGAAGGTTCTTAGGCTGGGAAAGATGGAAGAAATAGAAGAGAAGGATGACTAGTAACAGGGTGGCTTGACTCAGTTACAGTGCTCAAGGACAAGCATTGGAAGAACTGAAGGATCAGGTTATGGACAGATTATCATGGAGAAAATCTGTCTCTATGGTTGCTAAAAATCGATAATGACTTAGCATGTAATCAATCATGTTCAGGGAAATGTATAGTCAAATAAAGTGGCTGCTCCTGGGTTCAGGAAAATCAAAGAAATCTGGTGTCTGGAGAAATGATTACTTCTTCAATTAAATATTGTTTCCCTATGTTTTTTCTTTCCTCATTTATTCTTTTACTACTGCTTCTAACATTCTCAAAGTGTTAGAGATCTTGAAAGCTTGCATATTTTTCTTGGTCTTTGATCTAACATGGCTTCTGAATGCTCTTATTACTATCCCCTCATATAAACTTCCATGGCTACATTTGAGTTTTCTTTTAAAAAAATAGACGATCTAGTCATATATTTCTTTTCCTAATATGTAATTTGGCCTAATTTTAGCTCACAGCCTTAATTAATGTCTTCCAGAGAGCATCCTACTGCCATAGGCAGGTTGATTACTATCCTGCACAAGCACAAGTTTGGCTATCAAATTATACCTTTCATGCTTAATCATTGTGTTAGGTAAGCAAAAGGAACTCTCTCTCTCTATACACACAGACACAGATACAAACATAAGCCTATAAACTGCCCAACTTTTACTCAACCACATTGTATTTAAGAGACAAATTTTAAACCAAGAGTTTTTTTTTAACATAGTATGGGCTTTGGTTCAAAGTAAGCATTGGAAAATGGACAATTCTAAATATTTTATTTCACAGTACTTTATGTCTTCAACTGATTTGTGTTACATGGTGCAAAGGGCACTTACAAATGGCCTTGGATTCTGCACTGTTAAATCTGGAAAGACAATAATCTCATAGTTCATAAAGTATGAAACTGTGAGGAAATTTTTTTTTAAAGGATTGGAGTATGTTAGCAAAGTAGAAACACCAAAGTTATATGTGCTATTGGCAGGTTAAAAAAGGCAACCATAAAATACCTGGTTCTCAGTTAAAAAAATTTCTATGGCAATTTCTATGGTCTTTTAATTAAGGCAATAATTCATTTCTCGAAGATAGTAACAGGAGAAAAGTGGGGAAGTAATTTGAGATTTGGCAATTATAAATATGTATACTTACATCATGTATTATTTATGCATATGTAGCCTATATAATTTTCTTCCCTTTTCTGAAATGTATAAATATGACTGCATAGTTTTGACTGTAGTAGCTCTGCCCACTATTCTTTGGCAGGAATTTCTTCAGTGTGCACTGTTAACAATAAATACTGCAGTGAGACTTGTTTATTGGTTTGGGGTCCTGTGTTTGATTCCACAGAACTGGCGGGGTTGAATGGTAACTTCTAGTGGGTGAAGATGGCAGTTGAACAGTTTCCTCTTTAGCAGTAGCCAGCACGCAACTAATTTTGAAGCTTGAGCAGGGATCTTGCTGCTGAAAGAACTTCTGGAGTTAAGGAGAGTCTCAGAATTAACCCTTTGTCCTCTGGACAAGTGGTGCTTGTAAGATCATGAAACCTGCTGATGAGTAGATGACTGTTCAATAGTGTGGCACAGCCCAAAGAACAGATACTAGAACTGACCCCATTTCTAAAGCATCTTTTCATTTACTTTTAATTTTTAAATTTAAGAAAGGCATTCTTCAGTTATGAAGTGTATTTCCACTTGGAGATTTTCAATATTTCAGCTGGTATTTTTATAGAAAATTAATTTGGATGTTGGATTTGGTTTATAATGTTTGGAACTCTTGTTTCTTTCTCTTTACAACCAAGTTACCTTTTTATATCAAGAACAAAATTCTTTCATTTTTGATAAATCTGTGTTTATGATGTTAGGGGCTGGTTTTCTATATTTTATTTAACCTTCTGATATGGAATGCTTTTTTTCCTATCATTTTTCTGATTAGTTTGGATTTATAAACATACGTAATTGGAGAAACTTCCTCTTAATCTTTTTTCCTTTCCCTTTCTCCTTCCTTCCTTCCTTCCTTCCTTCCTTCCTTCCTTCCTTCCTTCCTTCCTTCCTTCCTTCCCTCCCCTCAACATGGTGGCCCTTTCAGTATTGCACTATGTAACCAATGCAAAATACAAAAGGGACAGAGTTTATGTTATTTTGTCATTTGGGCTTCATTCTTGCCTTTGACCATACTTCAGATGTATAAAAACTTATAAAACTAAAACTAAAAATATTAGTGGTGAGGTAACTACGTTTAACATCGCTTAAAGAATCCTGCACAAGGACTTCAAAAAATAATGTGAGAACTTCCAATAACAGACATTGAGGTGAAAGAGCAGGATTTTAGCACACATTCCAATTTTTCTCCATGCAACAAATATTTAATATTTGCGTTTGATAAATCTTGACAGGAATAGGCTTTTTCAAGAGAAAAAGTGATATAAAACCAAAACACAAGAAAGAGATAATATTTGTAAAAATATAGGGAATAGGTCCATTTTTCTTTTCTTTGTATATAATTTTCTCCTTTGTATCTGCATCATTACACACACTGTTGACTCCCAAACACATGTCTCAGAGTATAGTACCTGAACGGTATTTTATATTATTTATTACAGTCACTTCATGGATTAAAACATTGGGAAAATTCTACTTTTTAAGATACGTAAAAGATAAAAAAGCGCTTCACTTTTGCAAAATAAAAGACAAAATTCAAGATGTGTGCTTGTTAATTCTTCCTTTAATAAAGTAGGTAATCATTCTTAGGAGAGGAAAAACACAGCCTTTCATAGATAAAAATGAACATTAGTCATTAAATTATTCTCAACATTCTTCAGCAATGTAAGATGACATGCAAAAGATGAAACCGTAAAGATGCAAGAAACCCAAAAGAGCTTCTAATAGGTTGAAAAATGTTTTAGAGCACCACATATTAATACTAATGAACCCTTTATACTCTATATTCTTTCCTGTCAGCTTAGTGTTAACAATAGCTGAGATGAGCAGATTGCTCTTAAGAGAGAAAATTAATTGGTGCTTTAATTTGAGAACCTTAGTATACCTGGTAGAAGGCAATATGTTATTATGATCTAATCTTTTTTGATTGACACTTCCAATGCCATGCAAAATTAAGTTTGGTATATTATTAAATTTTACAACATGGGATTAATATATTTGACTTTTCTGAAGAAATTACTCACCTTTCTCTGTTAGCAAAGTACTGTTTATTATATGAAACCAGAAGCATAACATTGAGAAAGTAAATACATACTAAATAAGGCAAACATATTACAGCAAAAATTGCTCTAACAAGAAAAATAATTTGAACCATAAAATAGGCAAAGGAGTCAAACATATAAAAGCAAAGCTAATAAACAAACAAAAAACCCAGATCTTTATCCAACTATTTTTTCTTTACTTCCAATAAAGTGAAGGTGACTTACTATTTTCTCATCTATTCTGCCTCATTTTCCACTATTAAATAATTTGCTTTAAATGGCACTTTTAATGTATGGTAAGAAAGGAAAAATTCAGGGTGGAAAGGAGTAAGGTTAGCCACATCAAATTAATCAACAGCCATTTAATCCTCTTTTATCATCCTCACAAATATCAAGGAAATTAAATAAATCTACGCAGATTCTAGGGCTGAACACTTGAAGTGATTTATTTTGTGAAAGTCTAAGTAAAAGAGTATTAGATTTAAAATTGCATAACCAGAACATTTGTAGATTTTTCATTTGGATCAACAGTCATGTGATGACTTTATTCATTAACTCTACTAATTATATATTTTGAAGCTCTTTATATAAACTCTCAATATTATGTCTAATTTTAAAAAACAGAGGGAGCATCTTCTCATAACTCATTCAAGTTATCTGACCATGTAATTATACAATTGCCATATATAATAGCAATTCATAGATGCAAAACTATGGCTAAAGGACAGTGCATTACAAATCCAAGTGACTTTGGGAAAAATCAAATGAATTCTAGGACAGTCAGTTCAGTTAAATTTATCACATCAAGTTCAAAACAAGTTCAAAAAGCAGTAGATTTTTCAATACTTCAAATTCCATCTGTATCATCTAGAAAGTTTCTAGCGTAATATTCAAAAAGAGCTGTATGCTGTGTAACCACATTCTCTGTAGTTTGTGATCAGGTTATACTTTGGATTATCATGATTCACATGTCTATTCATAGAGAAAAGAACTGCTCATCGAAATTGTAATGGAAATTGTTATACACCAGTGTTCACAGTCTCATGCCCTATCAATCATGATTACGGCTATAGCACTGAGTGTCCAATAAAAATAAAACGTACCAGGAATGTTTTGCTTAAGAATACAGCTCCGAGATATTACCAATCAGAAGGGCGAAAATGATCATGTTATATTAGACACTGTTGTCATCATTAGTTCCAAGGGTTCAAGATATAATGATACCTAACCTTTTCAGAAAAAAAATATTTTTTAAATGGGTTGCATATACTGTGGCTATAGGAGTTTTCTATCTAAGAACTGTTGATTACTTATTACAGTAGAGAATTAGTTTTTGGAGGCTAAATCACTGAACAAATGTTTCTCTTGTTAACTAGATGGGGAGAAAGCTTATATTTGAGTTTGCTGCAATATCAAAAAGATATATTGGTTTCAAGATCCATTTCTCTACGTAGTTAAATAGCATTCAACTTGCAAGCAACAAAATAGTTTTGAAAATGCAGTTTGCTTGGAATGAATACCACATACCAGGAAGAAAGACCAGCATAAGACCATGATTTTGACCAATAAATCTTAATACATACATCATTTTTCCCCTCTCTGGGTCAATAAAATTAGTAAGTGTAATCTTGCACAATACTGTGGAATTAGCAATGGCTGCATGAGAAAAGGGAACCCAATTAGAAATCAGAGTGCCTCAATAAAGTATACACTTTGGGCTGTAACTATTTCTTGTATTATTTACTAAATACCCCCCCCCCCAAAAAAAAGAAAAACTAACTCCTCCCCAAAACTGGACACTAACCTATGAAAGTTATTTTGCAATTGTCAGGATAATAGAATGAACTGTGTCCAGAAATATTTTAGCTTTCTACAGCACTGACAGAGAAATCTGCCCTTGAATGAATCACAACCAGCATGGAGATTCAAACTCTTAGGAATCCTTTTTGTCCTTAGTGCGAAAAGATAGATCCTGTATTTAAATTAACATTTAAAAATGACTCTTTCTAAATGGTTAAGGAATATTGCAGCATTAAGATTCCCAATGAACTTTGTTCCTAGGCAAAGTAGGATGGCAGAAGTCTTGAAATAACTGTAAAAATACATCCTAGATGTTAGGAAACATAATTCAGGACTAGTAGACCTATAATCCAAATTGTTTCAAGGCATTGAATTTGTATTACTTTGTAAGTATGAATATTTGCATGAACAGTAGTTCATAACCATCTATAAAGTGATTATGGCTGTTTTTCTTCTTCAGAAAATAATTCAGGAGGCAGCACCAGACAAGAAGTGGGATATAACTTGAAATGTTTATTCCTCTTGTCTGATGAGAGGAATATCTGATTCTACTCATAGCCTATATGATCTATCAGGTTCTGAAATTATTTTTATATTCATTTGTTTCCCTATATTTGAGTAGGTACTTTCCAGTAAATTCATGAAATTATGCAATGCATTTTATTTTATATGTTGGGGGAATAAAAACTTACTAATCAAGGTTTCAAAAATCTGTTAATAGGAGTAAACCAGCAAGTATTGCACTCATATATTACATCTTGGTATTACATGTGTGTATTGTAAAGGAAATTAGTATATGTTTATTGTTTTTAGTTTCTGGTTAACCTGGGTTGCCTTGATGGTATCTGTTCACTGACATGTTTAGCCTTATAAATCTGAAATCACAACAGATCAAGTCTTGAGGCACAGGAGATGCTAACTTCTTGAATAGCTCTCTTACATTTCAAGAGGGCTAACAATTGTAAAATCAGAATCCTTGCTGTTGTTGCTGCTGCTATCATCAGGACTAGAACTGAGGTTACTTGAAGAGGCAGACATAGATCCCATCAGTGGATCAGTGAAGGCTAAAGAAGTGTGACATGGAGCCTCACTCTTCATGTTCATATCCTGGGAAGCAGGCAGAATCTGTTCCTGGTAAGAAGCAGAAATAACTTTTCCTTCCTCTTTAGAAACTAGGATATAATCATCACTGTGTCTTTTGACAAGACTTCTACCTGGATGACCAGTAGCCTGTGAAAGAGAAAAAAACAGTTAAATGATAAAGCTTAATCAGTTATTTCTTTAGGATGCAGCTACAGCAGCCATAATCACAGCTGGGACATACCTCTACAGCTGTGGTTGGTGATGCCTCCACCATTGCTCCCGCATAAAGTTACATGCCAAAAAAGGTACATATAAAGGGGGTCCTAGATGGAAACTCTTTAAGCAGCGCCTCTCCTATAGATCATAAAGGATGAGTTGGTTTATCAAGTAGAGATGTTCCTTTTCTTAATAAGAAACAAGCATAGAAAATTTCTTGACTGCTAAGTATTTCTGATTTTTTTTAATTGAATGCACTTTGTCTTCTTGTATGGTATCTTTATGCATGGAAAATGTTACTATGAAGTGGTTCTCAGTGATTTACAATGTTAAAAAAAGGTTTAATGATAAGTACTAAACTGCAAAGAAAACTTTCTGAAATAACTTCAGTGCAGAAGTTTAAAATATAAAACTTGATATAGACTTATTTTCTCAATTCAGGTTTCTATAACATCTTTGGTAATCCTAGGCTTTTCTAATGATGGTATTTCCAGAGTTTATCCCTATTCTTTCTCTGCCAGTTTCCGTTTAAAAAGTCTTATAATGACATGAAGCATGTTTTCTTCCATCTGCTCCTGCTCCTGAATAAATGGAAAATGACAGAATTATACTTCCAGGAGCTTTGAAAATTAACAACCTTAAACCTAGTACCATATGGTTCTTCAAAATAGTCTTCTTGATGAATTTCTGGTAGAAGAATAGAGGAATAAAACTCAATAGTATCAAATATAGTCAACCAAGCAATATCTCAAACATCAGGGCAATAGGCAACAGTGTACAACTACTACAGCATATAAAGTAATTAGATTTCTATCATGGTATGAGAAACAGAATCCCTTCAGCTATACATACATACATACATACATACATACATACATACATACATATGAAGAAGGAATAGAAGGAAACTAAAACAAATTCATACTAATTTGATTAACTGCTGGATAATTGGAATAAGAATTTAAAGACTAAGGCTGAATTACTGTTGAAGATGAAAATTGGAGAAATATGAAAAGAGAATGGTAATAATAATAAAGATATGGAAATTTATGTGCAGTTAGTCCTTGACTTATGCCCATTCATTCAGCAATTGTTCAAAGTTATAATGGCACTGAACAAAAATGACTTATGACTAGTCCTTCCACTAATGACCAACACAGGATCCTCATGGTTATGTAATCAAAATTTGGGTTCTTGGTAACCGGCATGAATTTATGACAACAGCCACATCCTGAGATCACCATTTGTGATCTTCCAAGCCTGCTTCTGATAAGCAAAGTCAGTTCATGATTCTACGAATCACTTAACAACTACCTTATCAATGGAAATTCTGGTCCCAACTGTGGTCATTAGTTGAGGACTATCTTTACCTGTTCTAATTTTCTTGCACTGTTTCCGTAACTTAATTTTACTTACTCACTTTTCCTGTCATAATATTGTGCCTCCATTCTCACTGTATCCCCAAATCTGCCTAATATTCTCTACAAATCATTCAACCAGTACATGCTTCTATCATTGCTATAAGCATTCCTTATAAATGGAATATGTTAAACCAGGTTCCCCAACCTGTGGGCTGCAGCCTGGTACCGGTCCATGGCCTATTGGAACGGATGCTAGCGGCCCCATTTGAGCATGTGTGGGGGCACTAGCGCCACCAGTGTCACGCTGGCATTAACGGCCCATTTGCATTCATTTTTTACTTCATTACCTTGCAGGCCAACATATATTGTCCACACGATATTTCACCAACTCAGATATGTTTCAGGCTCCATTAGTTAATAAAGTCTGATTGCTGGGACTAGAATACAATGTTCTCTGCCAATGCCCCCATCCTCTGGTATATTTTTCTTCCAGAAGTGAGATGTATTAAAACATGGTTCTGTGGCCTTGTATGGGTATCCCAAAGATGCATGCAGTTGTGGGGTTGATTGGTGTTATTGCAGCCCTCCCTTTTCCTTTGTTAACTAATTTTTTAACAAAATTTGATTATTATTGCCACCTTAATTTTTTTTTAATTTCTAGTTCTAAATTCTACAATTTTAATTCTTTTAATAAAGAATATAAGATTAAATCAAAAAAGCTACTTTGCAGAGGGATTTAGTTTTGAAAGGTTTTTTTTACACAGAATTAAGAGACAGATTTAAGATAAATAATAAAAAAATTGGAATTAAGCAGCAGAAGGCAGAAATTAAACTATTTACGAATTGCTAAAATGTATACATTTTTACTGAAATTTGAAATGGAAAACCAAATGAAATCTTACTGATCAAAAAGTAGAAAAATATATGATTAAACAGATTAAAATTTATACTATAACTTAAAAGGCAATTCTTGTAAAATGATGTAGTTAGGTATATGACCTTAGAAAAATTGTCTATAATGTATAAAGGCATTTCAAATTTATGTTCTAAATGTGGACAACATGAAAGATAATTTTATCATGCTCGAGGGACTTGTAAAAAAGGCATACTTTCTGGGTTGAAATACTACAGTAGAATTTTAAAGATTAACATTCAATCAAATTAGAACTTTTCTTGATGCAGTTAATGAATAGTCAATTAGAGAAGAACCGTGGAAGATTATTTTTATGTATGATTATTGTGGTGAGCCTACTATGTGCACAAAAGTGGAAAAACTATGAAATACCCACAGTGGGGGAATGGTCAGTGGGGATGACAGAATCAGCAGAGATGGCAAACATTAACTATTTTGATTAGAAAACAATCACTGAATGGAATCCCCATAAAAGAAAACAGAGAAAAATGAATTTGTGATTTATGCATTTGAAAATTAGAAAAGGCAGGTTATGAAAGAAGGAGATTAGGACTTAATTTTAGAAAGAAAGGGTGAAATATAAGTGCATTTATAATCTCTGTTGAAAAGATCAAAAGCAAATTTTCTTTTTTTCCTTTCTTTTTATTTTTTCCTATTCACTATTATTTCTTATTTTTCTATTTCTTTTCTAATATTTGTATTATTTTTCTTATTAAAAATTTCATCAATAAAATTATATTTTAAAAAGTTTTTAAAAAGTTGTATAGTTTATAGTTTAAAAAGTTTTTTAAAGTATGTACTTATTTTAACAGTCTCTTAAAAAGAAGGTAAAATATATTCATTTGGCATATTATATTACTTTTAAAATTGTTTCTTTTACCTTGAGGAGACAGATTGAAATTGCCCAAGTTTTCATTTATAATTTAGATTGATAGTTTGTGAGTTCAAGTCCTATCTTTGTCATGAAAGCTATGTGTGACCTTGGCCCAGTCACTATTTCTCTCAGCCCAACCCACTCACAGGATTGTTGCTATGGGGAAAATAGGAGGAACAAAGTGTGTTGGATAACCTTGAGTTGTTTGTAAAAATAATAAGTATAGGATATAAATAAAAAAATGAAATAAAGATTGTTCAAGTTAGAGGTTTATTGTGTCTATTTCAATTACAGTTGTGTAAACTACTGCATTTTCTAATAAAGCCACTGTATTTGACTTTTTTTAATCTGGATGTAACAGATGAAAACAAATTGGGAGCAAGGGGAAACAAGATGAACAAAAAGCAATTTATTGTAGAACTAAACAAATTAAACATTAAATAAAAACAAATCTTTAATAGTAAACTAATTGCAAATGGCATGGATAAGATTATTGTCTAAAGTAGTGGTTATTCTTCAGTATACCTAAAAGAAACCAACCATTTTCTTACTACCCCATGACAGAAAAAAGATTTGTAAAAATAAAACAATCTTTGTACCTCAATCTTATGTAGCTCTGTATTAAATGCTTTCTCCATGGCTTTTCTAATCCCACATAAACAGAACACAGATTGAGAATTCATAATAAGTCAAACCAGAAGTTATTTTTACTTCTTAGGGAAACATAATTAGACACGATAAGCTGGGCTAAGAATTCCCTCCACCCTCCTTAGCTGCCACAATTTGTTTCAGCCAGTATTTCAACTGGCAGAGATTCATTCTGGCAGCCAAGAGATAGTTAAAGTATAGCTGTAGAAATGCCCTTGCCTAGAGGAAGGCATGCAGCATGTTCCTCAGGAATTTGCACAACTGATTCCAGCACAAAGCTGAGCCCTACATGGAAGAGAGCTATAAACCAACTATTCACCAGTTTTTATTTTCCTACCATGTTTTCCCGACAATAAGATCTTCCCTGATTTTGGGGGTGGGCCTAATATAAGCCCTATCCCCCAAATAAGCCCTAGTTAGGATCCCACCCACTCTGCTGCTGCAATGGGGCAGAGCATGTATCACGCCACTGCTGCCACTATGAGGCGAGGCAGGTGGGGAGGGGTGGAGTTGCCCCAGGCGCCCATACCTGCTTACTTCAGGCCCCTCCCAGCCAGGCCATTCCTTGCTCGGCAAGCTTCCCTTTCGCTCCCCTCTTGAGCCAGATTACCATGCTACAGAGGATGATCGGGCTTAGGCTGGTCCCCCTCTGCCATTTCGGAGCCAGGGGGGAGTGACGGTGAAAAGCTCTGCTGCCGCTGTTCACTGCTGGAGGAGCTTTCTTCATGCTTCAACTCACAGATCATCTGCTTGGCAGCAGCCACTTCCTCCTTCTCCACCAACTCTTGCGTGGCTTGCGCCGTGACTGGGCAGTGTAAGCCTCCCCTGCTGCCACTGGAGAAAAGGAGAATGGGGAGGGGAATGGCTCTGCATAGCGATGCAGAGAAGGGCACTTGCTTGCTGCCCTGCATTGCCCCGCATCTCCCTTATCCGTTGCTACTGTAGAGTTTGGCCCACCACCACCCAGCTCTTCTTTCTTCCTGACAGCTTTTCAGCTCTGGCACATTTCTCTCCTGCTGCAGGGAAACGGAGTTTGTGGGACTAAAAAAAGTTCAGTTAGACCTTCCAACTTCTCACAAAAAAAGAGATCTCTGCTCTGCATTGCTGTGCAGAGTTGCTCTTCTTCCTGTTCTTC